CACGGCCATGCTGACCTCAGCAGGAGGCTGGGGGATTGGCATCAGAGGCAGAAAATAAAAGAAGAGGGGTAGACCCAGAACTTCTAGCTCAGTCCCAGGCTGGGAAGCTGCTGAGCTCAGCCAGCATTGCAGAGCTCTCCATGGCATATTGAGGACAATTACAGGGCAGTCATGGAATGGTTAAACATAGTCAAAGAGAAACAACAAGAGCTTTGGGGGAAAAAAATCTGGGTACTGCTGACAGCTATAGGCAGGCACTGAATTGTTCATTCCCATGTTCCAAACTTGCTAAAAACATCCTGGTCAGTTTGGGCTTCCATGGGTATTTGAGTGAGTATCCCAGCCATGCTAGTCAGCCTGCTTCTATCTCCATCATTTGCCATAGTACATCAGAGACTTCCATGTTATGCCTTGGATTTACCTGTCTGTGCTGCAGGGATGGGCTCCTGTAAATATCTCCTCTTTGGCCACGAGAGTGCCAATAAATCTCCCTTGGATGCATGTCCTGACCAAGAAAGAAACAATAAATTTCCTGTAAGTGGTTGAGAGAGGAGGAACAAGGAAAGAAACAGGATATTCACACATGTCATTATACCTGCTTGCAGGGGGAAAGAAAGCCTGGCACCCCTCACTGGCAGTCAGGTTCTGGCTCCGTTTTCCACGCAGCCGTTGCCCCTCGCTCCGACCCCACGGGCTGCCCTGCTCAGCCCCTCTGCGTGCCCTCTGCCCTCCCAGTGCCGCCCAGGCACTGATGTGCTGGAGGTCCCCACTCACCCCGTGCAGCATCTCCCCATCGTGCCTGCCTCCTTCTGCGTGGGAGCTCTCAGAGGAGATCCCTGGCACCCGCAAGCAGAGTTCCCACACTGCTCCCTGCCACTTTCAATTCCCCAAAGTACTCTTCTCAGAGAGACAATATCCCTCCATACCACACCCCCACCTTTTCCTCTCCTCGGCCCCAAGTTGTTTTATCCCCTTTTCATCCTCCTTGGCCGTATGAATGCCAGTCTTCTAGGGTCAGCTGCCAGGTCATCTTCTGTGCCTTACAGCACTGCCCCAGGGGGATCTGGCCTCATGTGGGGTTTCTGTGCTGCCCTGTTGTACAGGACAACCTCGGCAAAGCTGCAAGCCTGCTGCTGCAGAGGAGGGGGGAAAACCATCACTGAAAAGCAGGTTCAGGCGCCGTTTTGCTCGAGGTCGCACACCCGGATCAGAAGATGCTCCGTTGACTCCTGGGGCTGCCCAGTCACGGGGTTCTGTCTTCGCAAAGGCTGTCCCCTCCCGCGCGGCAGAGGTGGGAGTCAGGATGTGTTAGAGCAAGAGCCACTTTCCAGGAGTCCCTGGGACTACAGCACCTACCAGCCACCCGCTGCCAGCAAGCTTTTGGTGGCTCCATCCCCAAAGCCAGCCTTGCCTGTACTGCAGGCTGGAAGATACCTGTAAAAAAACCACCCAGAAGTGATGGAAAGGCCATTTGTACACAGCCATTTATTCCGTTGCAGTTTCACTTGTTCTCAGCTCAGCCCAGTCAGGGCCCCAGGGGACATGTGGTGGGAGGCCAAAGGAGACACAGACAGCCACTTCCCTTTCCCCAGCCTCAGTGCCCGGTGACTGGTGACAAAGGGTAGGAAAGTACATGACTGTTAGAGGACAGAGAGCAAGAGTACACGTTTGTGAGTGGAGAGGTCCCAGTGGGAGCCCCCCAGGGATCTGTGCTGAGACCTGAGCAGCTTAACACATGTCCCTGGAAGGGACACTGGAGGAGCTGTTCAAAGCATTTTGACCAGCACAATCAAGTAGAAAACAACTTATTTTCAAAGAACATCTGAGTATCTGAGGTGCTCCAGCCTGGGAAAGAGATGGCTGAGGTCTGAAGCCATGAGTGATCTGGGGAGGAAGGAAGGGCTGGTTGTTCATGTCTCTCGCAGGACAAGAACAGGGGCACCCCAAACAACAGTATCCCGTGACAGCTTCAAAACAAGCAAAAATAACTTCTCCACCCAACGTGTAACTGGGGACTCGGTGCCACAGGATACTGCAGGTGCTGACAGTTTACAGGGAGTCAAGAGACTGCATAAATCACAGACCGATCCACTGACGTTTATTAAATGGATAAAAACTCTCTCGTAAGCAGGAAGTTCTGGTGCCACAAAGGAAGGAACTCAGAGCAGCCTCATGATCTAGGGGTGGAGGGATGGTCCATGCAGCCATCAGGATTTGAAACTCATCATTGTTGAGGGGTCACAGCCACAGGTCAGGGCAAGGCAAAGGATCTCCCAGGCTGGCCACATCCCTGGAAAAGCTTCCCATCTCCACATGGACTTTGTGAGCGAAGATGAGGGCCCTGGATAATCTGGAGACAGAGGGGAAAATCTGGCCAGGACACCTCCCTGGGTCCCCTGTCTTTAACCTCTTCTGTTCTGCAAAGAAAGTGCTGTGCTGAACGAGCGGGAGACAACATGTGCTTGGGATCTGGAGGGAGCAGATCGCCTGCTTCCATAAGATTCTACGCAGTATGTGGATGGCTCCTCACTGCATCAGAGAGGCTGATCCAATTCACACAACCCAGTCCAACACAGAACGTTACAGAGCACTTTGTTTTTGCTAGGATGGGCAATAAAGCAAGTGCACAGGACCTCTGAGGGTGCACTGCTGGTGCAATTGCAGCACTAAAAACCCCAACTGCAGCACTTTTTCGCCAAGAGACCAAAGCCACTCTTAACACCAGCCTGGCATCCACAACCCATCCCCGCAGGCACCGCTGGTGCAAAGCTGTCACTGGGCAGCCTGCCTTTCGGCTGAAGCCAGCAGCTCCACCAGGTTTTGCAGGGCAGCAGCACATGATAAAAGCAAAAAACAAAGGGTGGTAAGCAAGCGCTGCTGCAGTGCCCATCCTGCAGCAGGAGCAGGCTCTGTTACGCCTGCTGCCTGCCTGCTTGCCAGGAGCAGTCCTGGACCCAGGAGGCACCAGAGAAAGCACCACGTTCCTGGGCTGGCTTTTGGTTGGGGACGTGCCACACGCATCCAGCACCTGCTGCTAACCGCCTTCGGCCCTGCCCAGGGCCAGCGGCCAGGCCCAGCTCCTGCCATAATCCACCTTACACCTAAGGCACCTCATACAGAGCAGCCCGTGGGTCTTCAGGGGTCAGGGGAGACTTCAAGGAAATTTGCAGCATCTTGCTACCCGCAAGGGATCTTACCTCCTATGACTGCAGGATTTTTACACTCTTTTTCTGAGTTATTACAAATTCTCAGGCATTTCACCGAGACCCTTCCCTGTCTAATCCAAGTCCTGCTGTCCACTCTGCCCATGGCCATTGGGATCTCCTGAGAGGCTGAGCCCTTCCCCAGCCCCAACCAGTACACCAAGGCCCTTCTAGAAACCGTCCTGCGTTGTGTTATGGGCCAGCTCAGCTCTTTTGGATGCTCCCAAAGGTGGAAGTTGTCTTTCCCTGCCTTTGCAAGCACCCTTGCTGGCTCAGCAGACAGCTTAGTTCTCGCTGCATTTGGACAGTGATTAAACCATGGATGGTTTGGGCAGTGAGTCTGGACCATAAGCTCCTACATCTCTGCCCAGGTGTATAGAAATGGAGCAGCTGCTCAGAGGGATGGCATAGGGTCCTTTGGGTGCCCAGAAAGGCAAGACAGAGTGGGCTGCAGAGGCCAGGAACAGGCACCTAAGCAACACCCAGCCATGGAGCTGCCCTGGCCCTGCCCCATCTCCACTCACAGCAGCACAGCAGCAGTGTGGAAACCAGCAAGCCTGGGCTGGAGTGGGAGGTTAGTGCTAACTAGCTTGGTGCTGCTGGGTCAGTTATCCAGCAGGTGACCGTGGGCATCTCCAACAACGTAATAAGGTGGGTTTTCTGTGGTTTGTCTGCATGAGGAGTGTCCCAGGGATGCATCGGCGGGACACTGCCCTAGGACAACGCATGGCCGGTGGGGCATGGGGAAGGTGAAGATGCCCCGTGCATCCAGTAAGCACCAGTTGATGCTCACGCTGCTCTGTGGTTAGTAAAAGGCCATGGCACATGATGCACGAGGGGTTTACACTGCCTGCCACTCATGTTTTAAAAACCTCTATGATGAGAAACTACTAATCTCAGTGAGGCCTGTAGTGTAGGTGTATTTTATAGATTGCTTTACAGAGAGCTGATTTCTTTGCCCAAGTAAATCTCAGAGGTGTCAGCACTAGCCTGGTTGGTAGTGCCATGGCACTGGTCTGGGGAGGTCGCTTGCAATGTTTTTTTATGCATCTGAAATCTTTTGTCATCATGTATGACTTCCTGTTCTCTCCACTTCAGGGAATAATAGCAAGCAGGGAAAGAGGGAACTTCAATTAAGGCACAATCTAGAAATGCAAATTGTTGGCTAGAGCAGAAGGCCAGGGAGGACAAAGTGGGCAGTTTTGGTGCTGCTGCTTCTTGTTGACTGTGCAGAGGCATGGGGCAGCACTGGGCTCTCCATTCCCACCCAAGCTCAGATGTCGCAGATGTCCGGCCTCCACTGGAGACGTTCAAACCTCCGTCCTGGGGTTTAGGCTCTGCTCTTGGAGCAGGCACCACAGCTCTGCTCCGAGCTGCGCACCACAAGCGCAGCCCCAAGCACAGCATGGCAGGGGGCCCGGAGAGGCTGGGGGGTGGCCGGGAGGATTGTCCAAGAGCAAAGTGGTGTGGTAGTTTCTTCTGTTTCACCCCTGGAAACCTGCTGCACTTAATAAACTAAATCTTTGAAATCCGCTGCACTGTAATAAAGTAAATCTCAATAAATTTCTGGTTTCTTCCTCGTTCCAGCTTGGCTCAGCCCCACTATGACCTAACAGGTATGTTGGGGCTTTCCAGAGGTGTGAGCTCATCGATGTTGAAACCTGCCACATCCACCCAGTGCTGCCCAGTGCCTGGACTTCCAGTGGGCTGGGACACCTCATGGGCGTGGGAAGATTCTGGTGCTTTCTGCAATCTGCCTGCAGGCATGATAGCTCCTTTCATTTTCATTTTCCTCAGTGCTGGGAACTGTGCAGCTCCACCCGTGGCACCAGAAGCCTGTACGGTGGTGCAGAGCCTCTGGGTCTCCGTTGGGGACAGCGACCTCCGAGCAGAGCCGTAGCTGCCCAGGCTGGAGCACAGAGCCCGTTAACCCGAGCAGCTCCTGGTCTCGTGGCCGGTAGCGGCCCTGGTGAGTGCAGCAGAAGCAGGGGCAGCCTGGTGGCTGCGGAGCAGGGAGGGCTGGCGTAGGGTCGGCGTCAATTTGGGAGTGGGGTGGCCAGCCAGGCGCTGCTGGGCATGGGGGGCAGCCCTGAGGTGGCCTGGGCAGCGCCCAGAGGAACCTCGCCAGAAGCGGCTGCGTTTCAGCAGCCTGCAAATCCTCTCTTGTGTGCTTTGGGGGGGCTCAGTGAGCGCTGGGTGTGTCCCCACCTTTCTCCACTCCTCACAGCTTGCTGCTGATTCCCCCCCCACCACCTCCTTCTCTGCCCCAGATGTCTCAGGAATCGTGGCGGCCGAGCCACCCCACCACCTTGCAGATCCCCAAGGCCCGGGGAGGGCGAGCGCGGCATGCTGTCTACCTGCTGCTGGCTCTGTGCGCTGCAGCGCTGTGCCTCGCCGGGGAGCCCCTCGTGCCCACCGCCCGCAGCCTCACCTTCCACTTTGCAGCCCTGCAGATCGGGGCGCTGCTCAAGGGCGCCTGCTTCCTGGCAGAGGAGATCTTCCACCTCCAGTCCAGGTGAGCCGGCGGGCGGGTGGCTGTCACCGGGCTTCCTGGCACCGCCCTGGAGGACAAGGGCGTAGCAGCCTCTGGGTGTTGTGGGGGGATCTCTATTCCCACTGTGGCAATGCTCTGCTGTGGCCCCGGCAGCACACGCTGCTCTCCATCAGCCTCCTGTCTCTCTCATCTTTTCCTCTCTCTCCTCCTCTTGTCCCTCTCCTGACTGCCCAGATCCCCCCCCCCCCCCGTATGTCTATGGACCTCTCCCTCCGTCATGGTTTAACCCCAGCCACTCACTCCCTCCCCTCCCGCGGTGGGATGGGGGAGAGATTCGGAAGGGTTCAAGCTCATGGGTTGAGATAAGAACAGTTTAATAACCAAAATAAAATGCTTAAATTCTTTAAAATAATAATAATAATAATAATAATAATAATAATAATAATAATAATAATAATAATAATAATAATAATAATAATAATAATAATAATAATAATAACAACAATAATAATAACAATAATAATAATAGCAACAATAATAATAATAGCAACAATAATAATAATGAACAATTGTAATGAAATGGAAAATAACAAAAAGACAGATAAATAAAACCCAAGAAAAACAAGCGTTACAAATTAAAAATAATTGCTCACTACCAACCGATCAAAGCCCAGCCTGTTCCCAAGCAGTGGTCCCCCAGCCAGCTTTCCCTCTAGTTTATATGCTGAGCATGACATCATTCGGTACGGAATATCCCTTGGTGAGCTGGGGTCACCTGTCCCGGCTGTGTCCCCTCCCAGCTTCTTCTGCACACCTAGCCCCCTTGCTTACTAAGTCCTTGACTTAGTGCAAGCACCACTCAGCAACAACTGAAACATCAGGGTGTTATCAACATTGTTCTCACCCCAAATCCGAAACACACCACTATACCAGTTACTAGGAAAAAAATAACTCTATCCCAGCCAAAATCAGGACACCCTCTCCTCCCCGTGGTAGCTCCCTAGTGTGTCTTTTCCCTGGGGAGCACATCTTGGCCCCCAGCCTTTCCCCACCACTCGGTGCCGGAGGGCACGGGGCTGATGGAGATGGTCTCCCCTTTCTGTCCAGGGCAGCATCACATCTGCTGACGTACCCTCTGAGACCCGCAAGTGCTGCAAGAGACCCAAGCCCTCTCCTGGCTGGGGGCACCCGGGGTGGGCTGAGCAGGGGGTCCCACGGGGCTGCCTGGCTCCGTGCCACTCTAGGAGGTCAGCGGCGCTGGCAGGGAGGTGGGAGCATCCCCTGGCCGGTGCCCCGAGGGCTGCAGATGGTGGGTGGGTGGCTGCCACCCTGTCTCCTGTCTCCCTCTCCCACCCAGGCACCGCGGCAGCTTCTGGAGGGCCCTGAGCGCCTGCTTCCCCCTGCGCTGGCACGGGCCCATGCTGCTTGTCTGTGGCTCAGCCTACGTGGCTCTTCATGACGGAGATGAGCAGCCGCTCGGCTTCCACCTCGGCCTCGCCAGCCTGTGCCAGCTCCTCATCCTCGCTCTGGGGCTCCACGTAAGGCACAAACACCTCTAGCCTGGCCATCCTCCTGGGGAGCACCTCGGCCCTGAGCAGTCGTGGGGGCACCTGGCCTGGCCCACCCACACACAGCCCCGCATTGGGAGAAACTCTCCTTAGCTTAGCCCCAGAGAGCTGATCTCCTCATTCCCTCACTGCCACGGGCATCGGCAGGAGGGCCAGGCTGCCTTTTAATGAGCATAGCCACTCCGGGGCAGTGGCAGCAGCCCTGCCGCAGCCAGAGCCCCACTGACACAAAAAACAGGGGTATTTTTAAATCTGCCAGTCAAGCTGGTGCTTGAGGGGAAAGGGTAGCCTGTGCGGTCTCCAAAGCGTTAATTATCAGGCGTGCTGTGGGCAGCAGAGCCCAGCTCCAGGTACCTCTGCAGCATTGGGAAGGCTCTGCTTTACCCCTACAGAGCTGGAGGGGGAGAGGGGTCACGCAGGCTACAGAAAGTCACTTTGGGGAGGGCAGCATCAGGTGCCTGTGGGGACTGAATACTCATTTCCACCTAAATGAACACACCGAGCTGGCAGGGGCCACTGGCGGCCCTGGAAATTCCACCATCAGGCATCAGGCTGTCTCCTCCCACGTGCTGGAAGCACTGGGCAGGTGGCACAAGTTGCACTGGGACACACGATCCCAGTGGAGGGCACAGCCAGAAAAGCGCCCGGCTCGACGCAGCAGCAGCTTCCTCATCTGCAGGGGCTGCGTGGGCTATCGAGGGGTGTTGGCCCCCCTGCCCAACGCAGTGGTAGGAGGGGGGTAGCGGGGTTGCTCGTTCTCCAAATCTCTTTGGAGAGGACGACTGCTCTCCAACCCCTATAGAGAACCGACTGTTGCAGAAGAGCCCAGGTGGCTGCTTTCATCACAGCTGGTCTGTCTTTCCTTCCCTCCACAGAAGCCCTCAGCAGTGGAAATATCTGAGATGTCTGAAAGGTCCAAGCAGAATGTCGCTCATGGGCTCGCCTGGTCTTATTACATTGGGTACCTAAAAATAGTCCTGCCACGTACGTAGCTGTTTCCCTGCATTATCATGCCTACAGAGAGAAATAGCTCCTAATAACAATCCTCCCACTTTTACAGTGTCAGCAGGGAAATGGGGAGGAAGGTAGAAAACAGCTGTACTCACGCCAGGCCCCTCTGTGTGATGCTGTCTTCCACCAGGAGTGAAAAAGTCAATGGAGGAATTCAGCAGAGCCAACCCCAGTGTGCTGACATACAGGGAGACCTGGAAACTCCACATCTTGATCCCTCTGAACTGTGACGTCTATGATGACCTGGAGAAAGCTGACAGCAATATCCAGTACCTGAAAGACCTCACTGAAACCACCCTGGCCCGAGCTGGCACCAAAAAAAGGATCTACAAACACAGCCTCTACACAATCAGGGATGAAGACAACAAGGTATACCGAGTGCAGTGTCGGAAGAGCAGTCAGCATGCATCAGCCCAAAGGTCTTCCTGGCCTCAGATCCCAGCCCAGAAGTAGCCATAAGGGCAGGACAGTGTCCCCTCTCCTATTAGAGATGGAGAGGTCCTGTTCGTGCCAGCCATCTGCACCCTTTCCTCCTGGCTGCCTCCTCCCAGGCTCATCCCTTGCAGGGTCACTGGGCTCACTTAACCCCTCCTGGAGCTGATTTAAGTCCAGAAAAGAGCAGAAAACTGAGCAGAAAAAAAGCAGATGTGGGGTACGGAGCATCACTTCCCATGAGACAAATGAGTATTTCCTTTTGTTGTGAAGAGGTTCTTGAAAATGTCTGTGTGAGTCATTGTATAATTTGACTTTCTCCCATTCCCCCAGTCACCTCTTTTCCAGGCTGATGAGCCCCAAATCCCTCCATCTCCCATTGCATTCATCTCCTTCCACATCTCCAGACAGATGGGCCTCTGCCCCTGTACCCTTGGAGGAGGGAAGACACTGGTCCTGCTGACATGGCTGCGGATGGAGGCATGGGCAGAGCGATGCTGCTCACCTGGGTCTCCCTAATTTGCCTTTCAATGGGGGCTGAGTGCCGAGCTGCAGCTTTTAAAGCCCTGTCTGCAGTGACTCCAGAACCCCTTTCCTGGCCCTGCTCCTGGGGAGGTACAGTCAGCGGTGGGTTTTTCCCACTGCAATGCGTGCACTGATGCCGTGTTTCATCTGCCAGTCTCCTGGAGTCACTCAGCACCAAGTGAGCTCCAGCAGCTCTGCAGCCTGGACCTGTCCTGACCTGCTGCGTGTTGTCAGTAAAACCTTCCCCTCAGCTTGCTGCCCAGCGAACGTGGGCATGGCAGCAATGCTACCTCCCCTCCTTGGGACCTGCTCCGGGTCACTGAGGCAACTGCCTGCCAAGGCCAGTAGCTCTTTCTGCTGCTCTGCTTTTACACAGGGATCCCGTCCCCCTTCATCCTAATACACTTACTTAAACTCTTCCAGCAGAAGACTTACCAGTAACCCTGCTCCTCCTTGGAATTTTTACGGCCTTAACAAATCTCTCCTCATTTGTTTGAGCAGCCTCCTAACCGTGCATTCACCTTGCCAGCATTCATCCTCCTCTCTGCTCTCCTACTCTCCAGTAGGATGCTCAGGCTCCCCCTCGTCTAGAAGAAAAGCCACCAGGAAGGTGTGATCAGACACAGACAAGGGGTGTCTCAATCGGGGACCAAATTCCATGAGGAAAATCACCCCCCCGCCCCCGGCCGCAGCTTGGGAGCACTGACAAAGCCGGTGGCTGCACCCTGGAGCCCCACGGGAGGAAGGCAGCTCGGGGCATGGCTGTACCTGCTCAACACAGGGCAGGGGGACACTGCAGCCAGAACGGGTGTCCTTGTCCCGGTGGCCCAGCACACGCCGGCAGCGCAGGGCAGGCCAAGGAACTGCAGAGAGGTCTCAAGGGCTCTGCAGAGCACCAGCGTCCCCCAGCAGCCCTTCGCCGGGTGCTTGGTCCTCCTGCCCCCCCATGGCTTTTCCTTCCATCCCTGCAGCTCTGGCACTGTGCAGTGGAGTATGCCACCCCGCTGCAGTCCCTCCACGCCATGTCCCAGGACGAGTGTGCTGCCTTCAGCCGGGAGGACCGCCTGGAGCAGGCCAAGCTTTTCTACAGGACCTTGGAGGAGATCCTGAAAGGCTCCAAGGAGTGCGTGGGTACCTACCGGCTCATTGCATACGAAGGTGAGTGAGGAGGGGAGGAGGGCAGGGGTGCCCAGCACAGTGGTTCTGCTCTCCCAGCCCTTGGAGTGGCCTTGGATCCGGGCAAACGAGGGGGAAGTAGGCAGGATCTGTGCAGTAGTGCTTGGCTGATATTCCCCACTCAGATGGCCACGTTGGAGGAAGAGTCTCAGAGGAGCAGGGAGGACGCTGGCAGAGCTGGTCCCTGTTGAAGTCCCCAAAGGGACCTGAGACAAGCAGTCTACCCCTGGGGCAGCAAGAACACTCCCTCAAGGATAAAGTATAACAGTGGGCTTCCAGCGGCAGGAGCAGCTCCCTTTGCTGCTGATGTTCCTGCGAGAAAGGGCTGGGGCTCTCCAGTCCCCCCCCAGTAGTGGGACGGGTGTACATGTGTGTGCTGACTCGGTGGCGCTCCCCCCTGACAGGGCATGGGAAGAAGCAAGGCTCTCCCTTCTTCTCATCTTCCCTCCGTTTCCCTTCTCCTCACCTCTGCCTGAGCATCAGGGCTTGAAAACGGCTTGCTGCTTCTAGCTGAAATGCGTCTCGTTTTTCAGAGGAAATTCAGTGCTCTCCTTAATGGGGGGTAGTTCCCATCACAAGCAGCACCACTGGGAATCCAGCACGTAGTGCCTGTATTTCACTCTTCTTCCTGCACTTTGTGTTTTAATTTCTTTCTTCTGGCATGCTGAAAGGGGGAAGAACGAACTGTATTTTGACTTCTCGGGAAATTCTGAGTATTTTGGGCCATCTCCCAGAGACTCAGCTCCCTGCCCAGACCCCCGCCTTGGGTCTCACCAGTAAAGGTGGGTCTTGTCTTTCTTCTGTTCCAGAGTCAGGAGAAGTAGAGCCCCACTTCTTGTCCAGAGAGATCCTCTGGCACCTCCGGCAGCAGCACCGCGAGGAGTATGCCGTGGGTGAGGGGAACCACCCGCGTGCCCCGTCCACAGTGCTCAACTCCACAGACCTCAGCCTCCAGATAAGTGAGTCAGACCTGCCACAGCCTCTGCGAAGTGACTGCTCCTGAAGCACCAGCGCTGCCCAGCCCCGCACCACCACCTCGGGGCTCCAGCCCCCCCTCCACAAGCCCCTTCCTCTCGCAGCAAGTGCTGCCCACGGCAGCGATCCCCAGCTTCCTGCAGGAGCTTCGCACCAAAACCTCCTGTGCATCGTGTTTACTGGAAACACCTGACTCAAACCACAGTCTTGTGACATGCTTCCCAGTTTCTTTGTTATGTATATCTCATATATTAATCCGTGAGTGTTTTGGTTTTGTTTTTTTTTCTCAATCTGCTTTGATTTGTGTCATATAAAGCATTTTTCCTCTGGGGCAAGTTGCATTATCCTGAATCTTGGGCACGATGTGCAGTCTGCCCTTGGACATCCTGTGTTGTTGGATGCAGCCTTGGAAACCCCAGCTATGAGTGTGTGTGCATGCGCTGAGCCCAACACGTCCAGCCAGCATGGCCTGACTAACCTGATGGCTTCTGCAGACACAAGGAGTCTGCGCAGGACTTCCAGGGTACCCTTCAGCCTGATGGACCCACTGTGTGGTCACACACAAACATCCTCCCTTTCCACCCATTCAGGATGTGGAGGTGGGAGAAGAGGAGGTTGGGCCCGAGGAACTCTGACAGTTGGTGGTCCCGCAATGCAAGAAACCCCCCTTGTCTTTGCTCCATCCAGTAATTTCGCACTGAGAGCCCTCTGCAGTGCCTGCTGATGCCCTTCATGCCCACATTCCTCCCAAGCACTCTGCAGAAATGTTTCTCCAGCTCCAAATGATGTGCCAGACCTGCCTGGAGCTCTGGGAAAGGGGCAGGGTGCAGTCCTGGGACAATTTGCATGAGGTTGTCGGGGCAAGACATCACGTGTGGGGTTGCTCAGCCCTCTGTGCTGAGCTGGGTGAGGGACCCCCCGACAAGCCCAGCAAGCCGGGCCCTCCCTGCCTGCCCCAGCCTCATCTGGTCAGGAAGAAGCAGAGCAGAGGATGTGCAGCAGGTCTGCTCAGCATGGCTCTGAGACAGGCGATTTCTTGGCTCTGCCCATCTACATACTCCTCCAGGATCTGCCTGGAGGTGCCTAGGCTGAAAAAGGGGCTGTTCCCAGGCCAGCCCCCATGGCTGCGCACCCCACGTAAGGCCATGCTTGCTGCAAGGACTCGGCTTGGCAAGGGGATGGAGCCTGCTGCTGAGGGACTGCCAGGGCCAAGGAAGCAGCTGAGAAATACAGTCCCCGTGGTGGGCTGTTTCCAGAAGCCTTCCCAGCTGGGAAGACAGCAAAATCCCCAAGGTGCCCTGCCTGACCTGGGCTGGCCATGGGGCAGACGAGCCAGGTGGTCCCTCGGGCAACCAAGCACGAGTGACACAGTGTGGCCAGAGCCACGGGGCAGGGTGGTGGCCCCAGAGCTTGTTGCTTGCCAGGTTACCAGAGACCACGGCAGAGTTTTGCCGTGGGACAGCTTGGCAAGACCACAGAGCCGGGGCCAGAGCTGGGCACCTGCTGCTCCGTGCCTCAGTTTCCCCTTTTGCCAAGAGCTGGAGGAGGATCCAGCCAGACAATTCTGCCCTGGGAAAGAAGTGGGAGCAGGAGGCAGCTCAGCTGGCCTGTTACCCTCCGATGTTGCAGAATCCCTACCCTTGGGTCCCTCCCAACTCCCAGGACTTTGGCAGAAGTAGGAGGTCCCTCGAGAGGTCCCAGGTGCTTGCCCTCAGCCTGACAGTCCAGTACCAGGGCCTAGACACAGCTGCGATCATCCTCTGGGCCAGCTGTGGAAACCCCGAGGGGACCGTGGAGTCCGAGGGCTCGGAGGAGGTGACCTGGCTGCATCGCTGCGAGTGGCAACAAGAGTGCTGTGCCTGGCTCCCCCCCCCCCCCGGCTCCTCTCACAGCTCCCTGGGTGGCTCTGCCTGGAGCCAGACACACAAAAGCATCCTAGGGGATGCTGCTACCTCTCCTCGTGATCCTGGTGAGCGTCCAGCTAAGCCAGCTTCCCTGCCACTATTTTTCCAGTGTGGTTGGGGTCCCTCAAGCCCTGTCTGGACCTGCTGACTGACGGTCTATCTGGTGCCAGGTATGTGCTCTCTCTCTGAGCAGGATACAGGAGCTGTGGCTGCCCAGCCTCACCGCTGCCCAGCAGCACCCAGCAAGCTGTTCCTTCCAGGAGCCCAGCTTCCACTGGGCTGAGCGTACACAGCCTGTGCAAGGCTGCAAGGACTGCAGGGACAACAAAACCAGCCAAGAGGACAGAGCCAACTGTGGCTGTCGGGGTCATGGCAGGGCACTGGGTTTCTTTGTCACTCCGGGGACAAAGTGAGAGTGTTTGTGGCTGAGGAGGCTCACCTGGGATGGAGAGGCACTGATGGAAAGGGCTGGCTGGGAGCAGGCTGGGGCTAAACCCACACCCCCCCCACTCCTGCCCTTGGCTGCCCAGCACCTTTTACCCTGATACCTATCTGTGCTTGCAGCTCCCATCCCGAAGATGCTGGATGCACTTTCCTCTGCCCATGGCTCTCAAGGGAATGGTCGTGCTCAGACAACTTCCACCTCCTTGAGCTGGGAAAAGCCAGAGGCCAAAGCTTCACCCTTTGGCAGGAAGACGAGTGCCCCAGCGTGGGAGGCAGAGGTGCCTGGGGAGAAATCCTGACACAAACTAAACAGCTGGACATTTATGTCACCGCTTCTTTATGTACCTGGTACAACAGCTTTGACGCTGGTGGGGAGCTGTGTGCTCCCAACAGGCGAGAAGGCAGCTCCAGTGGGCAGTGTGACACAGCCTCAGAGGCTGCCTGGTTTAGGAACAGCCTGCCTGTGCTGCCTCCAAGGGCAGCTCAAAGGGCTCCGACATGACAGCCCCCTTCAGCCTTGTTTGCTCCATGGAGAGCTCACTGGGCTGGTCTCAGAAGCGTAGCCACACCACCCTGTGTTCCCCTCTGAGTGGAAGGAGAAAAACCTGGGCGTGCTATTTTGAACAGGTGGGTGAAAGCTTGGGCGACTGCAATTTCTGTTGGGAAGAAGGCAGCCTGGAAAACCCTTACCCTGCAGTCAGCTACCACTGGCCATCAGTGGCTTGGCCACAAGAAGCCTGCAGAGGCGAGTGCTTCACAGCCACCTGAAGAGACACAGCAGTGCTGTTAAGCCCAGCTGGCACACCGAGGCACAGCCAGCCTATAACTCAGCTCCTTAACCACCCTTTGAAGGCTCTGGGATTCAAAAGGCCCCTAGGACCTGCTCAGGCTCCCAGGCAAGAGGCAGCCCAGGGCCAGCAAGCTCCTGGATGTCCTTCCCCTCACATAGTGCTAACGTGATGATGTCCCTGCAGGACAGCATTTGCTGGCCCTCGTGGGCTGGTACCGCTCTCCTGCCCTGGAAGTGCGCTCTGTGCTGAGACCTTCTGCCCCCAGCGTGGCCCCCAGTAAAGAGGAATCAGCTACAGCTTAGTTCTCTCTCGTTTAAAGCCACTCATGAAAGAGCTCCAGTTTCTTCTGTCTCTCCTGAGCTTTCCTTCCCAGGATAAAATTGCTCTTATCCGGCAGCTGCCTCTCAGCAAAGCACCCCAGACAAATATCAGGGCTCCATCTTTCATGCACATGGAAGAACACAGTGGGAGATGCCTCTCCCAAGCTCCAGCCCAGCAAGCTTTCAGAGGTGATTTGGCTGCACATTGGACCCGCTGGGACTGGGAATTGGAACCCATTTCAGGATTCGGTAAAACCTTAATCTGCAGCCTAATCTCTGAGTGCTGCATCTGTGCAAAAGACAAAAACAGCAGATGAAAGGGCTGTTAAAGGAGGGTTTGTGTCAGCAAAGACTGATGCAAAGAGCCAGCTCCTCTTGGCCCGCTGGTCTGCAGAGGTGCTGGGGATCTTTGCCTTAGGCCTCCGGGATGTGCCAAGAGCCTGGTGCTGCACTGGCCAGCGAGGGAGAGGGGAGAGCTGTGCTGCTGCAGGCGAGGGACCTCCTGCTCGTGGTAGGAGACACTTACCCCTGGGTGCAGGGGGCAGAGTGCTGCACCCAAGGGGTTTTGGCATGGGCAGGTGGACATGGGTCCTGATCACCCACCTCCTGATTTCAGAGCAGCGTTCCCAAGGGCATGGAGCGAATGCTGTGGGCACCTGCTGAGATTCGAGGTAAATGCATGGCATCAGGGCTGAGCTCAGCGACATGGGAGCAGCCAGAAACAGCTGTGTGAGCCGCAAAGCCAGCACCGAGACAGTCCCCGAGGGTTTGCACCTTCAAATTCACTGGGGCACAAACACTGTCTCCTTCCTGACAAGCTCCTCCCTTCCCGTATGGGTGCTTATCTTGTCTATCACCACCTTTAGTCAGGTCAGGCTGAAGACGGCTGATAAGCTCAGCCCATATTAGCAGGGGACAGGTAGAAAGACAGGCACAAGCCCAGAGGAAACCTGACAGCACGCCCTTGTTTCAGCAGAAACTGTGCTGCCAGCCAAAGGCTCAGCTCCTGTAACTGCTCAAGGGCAAAGCCAGTGCCAAGAAAATGGCCTTTGCTGGAAGAGTGAATCTCAGGCAGAGCAGAATCAGAGGCAGGAAAATTAAACCTCAGAAGAAGTGGAAGCTCGCTGCCCAAGCTGGCAAACAGAGGGTAACCAATTTCCCCTTGAGCTCCCTAACAGCGCAAATCATCTCAGTTTTTGTGCTAACTGCAGCGTTCTACACCAGACCTGACCCAGGAGTGCCAGGTTTCTAGGGTGGGTGAAGGCGCTGCCGGGCGCCAGCAGCACAGATGCAGCCTGGCCCGTCGCTGGCAGGCATCAGCAGGGCAGTGGTGTCCCCCGCCACAGCCTCGTGCCCTCATCCCCACTGTGCCCACGGCCGTGAGGGGGCAAAAGCCCTGGATGTCCCTGACCACCACAGAGTGCTCGGGCACAGCCTTGCTCGGGCGATGGCCCATGCTCCGTTGCCACGGCTGCCAGCGTAGGTACAGGCACTGCCCTTACCTGGCGCCCGATCTGCGGGGCCTGCCAGGGCCATGAGGGGTGATGAGCAGATTTAGGGGGCACCTTCAACCTGAGGAGCACAAGCTGTGGGGGACAGAAGTATTGCTCCAAGTCTAACCACCACGGAGAAGTGCCTGACACAGGGCTACGAGCCCCAGCTATTGCTCAGCAACTGGGGCAAACAGAGCCACGGGGGTGACGCAAGGACGGGCTCAGTGCCGCAGTGAGAGGTGGCTGCCACTGCTCTGGCCCTACCTTTTTCCTCTCTCCACTGCTTCTCCACTCAGGGAAGATGTATATG